AGAGCTTGGAGGAGGGACATAGGGGCCAGGGGGGAGGGGAGAGAAGGCAGGAGAGGGAGGGAAGGGAGAAGTGGAGTGGGGGGTAATGGAGGGGGAGACGATGGGGAGAGGGGCGGTGAGAGGAGGGCAGGATACATGCAAAGGTGGGAGGCTATGAGGGGACAGATGGCGGATGCGTGAGTGGGAGGAGAGACATGAGGGTGTTGAGAGGAGGAGGTGTTGTGGGAGGGGGAGGTGTGATGAAGAGAGGGGGAGAATTGTGAAGGGGAGCTTGGGAGAGACATATGGGAAGGTGCAGGTGGAGGAGTGAGAGTAAGTGTTTGGGGAGTGGGACCTGTGAGGGAGGAGTATGGAGACAGACTAGTTGTGGGGGGATGGGGGGGAGGTAGGAACCATGCAAAAAGGAAGAAGCCCAAAGAAGGAAGGGGTTGGTTAGGGGTGGGGATGGAAATATGAGGGGGCTATAGAGGGAAATGTAAGGCGAGGGAGGAGGTTTATGAGACAGGAGGCAGAAAGTGTAACAGCACAGTTTGGAGAAAGTGTGAGAAAAGTGGAGAAAAAGCAGGTGAGACGGTGCTGTGACTGTTTCCTCACTCCTCCCTCCCTTCCCAAAGGTGGCTACATTTAGTTGTGAATTGAACATCTTTCTAAAGCTATAGCACATCACAAACCAGAAAAAAAAAGAAAAATGTGATGAATTTACCCCAATTTTAAGCAGGTGCACTGATTCTAATAATAGTTTTTGGACTTTTTACTCTGCATATGGTAGGGGTTTGCAACTACACTCTTGGCTAAAAAGGAAGCAGATCACTAGTCCAGGCAAGGCTATAGAGAGGAAGACTCCTCTGTTGTGGGCATGTGATTCCAATGTCTCATGGTGTTACAGAGTAAAGTGTTGCAGGAGATGAGGAGAGTTGTACCATGCCTAACCATGATTGCCAACAAGTGTGGTTAACTGACATGGTAATGAAACTGGGCCTGAAACAGGACTACCCCAGTGCCTTGTGTAGTTATGAACAGTAGTGCAAAGGATAAATAAAATGCTATCACATAAAAATGATACCTCTTTCTACAAAGTGACATAGGGTTACATAGCTACATGGGGTGTAAGGGTGTGGGAAGCCAAGCCTAATGTTTTTATTCATGATCAGAGTTATTAACCTTTGTGTGCTAATGTAATTTTCATTGGGGTGTTACAATTCTATCTACTAAAACTCTTTTTGCAGTTTCATTTGAAGAAATAGCTGGTGTATTCTATCCCATAGAGGTTGCATTTCAGTAGAAAGCTGTGTGCATACTAATCAGTGAGCTAAAACTGGCATTAAATTGGTATTCAATATTACATGTTTGACAAGTGATCACAGCTTTGGTTTTATATTTTCAACAGCTAGCCCTTCATACTGTAAATTTCTCTAATGTACTTTGGTTTTCAGCTTAAAACATTCAGGCTGAAACATCACCAGGAGAGATGTGAACTTCCACCATTTACCTTAATACAGTATTAAGTTAATTTAATTTATTTCAGTTAAAATTCAAATGCTAATCATGACCAGTCAAATAAAGAACAATGTTAAATGTATCAGCATTTGAACAAACACATCAAGTTACTGCACTTACTATAACAGGGCCTATTATAGTCTACCATTTCCATGGTTATGGAAACATTCCATGTCAATAAAGCTGCAAGTTTAGAACAGGAAAATAATCAAATATCCTTTTGATTATGTAATTGTGACATTTGCTGCTATCCATTGCAATTAAATAAAGGTAGATTTCAAAGTACTATTAGCAGAATAGATCTGGGATTGCCATGATGAGGTTGGCAAGATTATGTGGCATTTTTATATAAAATCCATTTTGAACTGATATA